CATAACACTGAACCATATTGTATTATTGTACATATAATTACACCATCTTATATCATATTTGTGTTTAGGCTATATGGTATGTTTATATCATATTATGCTACCATACAAGCCGAATAAACATATGAAATGTAAACTAAATGTCTACGAAACCATACAATATCAAATAAGCTTCAAACCGTAACAGAACTGAAGATAACTCAGCATAGCGTAGTGTTAGTTAATTGTACGTAAAGACTTGGACTTCCAGCCCCCCCCCCCCCCCCCCCCGACACCCGCCCGAGCTCCCCCAGCCCCTGCACAGCCCCTGCACCCCCTGCACCCCCCTGCACCCCACCCCATTGTGAGCATGTGTCTGACTTTCATGGTTTTGCAGCTTGTGGCTTTCTGATGAAACGTACATACCCTTTGTGCACAACAGCACCGGGGAAGCCCCACCCAACCTCCTTCACAGATGATTCCTTGTATGTTTACTCCAACGCGTGCGAACCCATGGACATTGCGTGTACTGAGAAGGGTTCTGCACCTTTATCCTTCTTCCTTCCTTTCTGCAACTGAATTTCAAAAGCCATCCGAGCCACGTGCCAGAGTATTCATCTCATCTTCGCCGTTGTGAAGCGATGCGGAGAAGCGGCGTTTCGTAGGACAGGCACCGTGCCTTTTCCGCGAATGACCTGCCGGGATCCGAATCAGCTTAAGCAATGCTGGATTGGCATTGACGAGCGATGTTCCTACCACGAACTATATCAAATCATGTTGGCAACCGAGGCTTCAACAATCTGAGTTGGAGCGTGCAGCCCTTGCCCTAGTAAGCAGCATTCTATGTCCTAGCTAACGTGCTGCATGTCACTGGGGAAGTTTCAGGCTGTTGCCCTGCTCCGTAAACGCGGCTACATCGTGTCGGAAGTCCACACCCAAGACCACCTTCACGTTTCCAGTCGACTCTCCTGTGATAGTTTGCGGGTTTGAGAGGCAGCGTCCCGAAGCAAGGCTGGGGTTGAGCTTGCTTTCGGGACCTGTGTCCCGGGCAGTGCAGTGAGCGCTCCTTATCTCTCCAGGGTCTCTTGGATGTGGAGCTGCAAGGCCGCCGATGGAGCCATTCGCAGGAAGGTGGAATTTGGTAATCTCGCCGCATGGGTGAACTCAACAATGCCACCTCTGCGCGATGAATTGCCAACAGCTTGGCTTCAACAAATTGCGGGATCTAGCGGCCGTTGAGCAGCAAACGGCGAGCCTGTAAGGCGAGCTGCGCTCGCTCCCCTTCTACAGCACATGATCAGCGAGCTGATGGATTTTCAAAAGGTGCGCTTCAGTCAGACTTCTGAAGCCTGAACCCAGCCTGAACCCTGTGCTTCGCAGATCTTGGCAGGTGTCTGCGGCACGCCAGCTTCTGGCCTCGCATGAGAGCCTTCTCCATGCAGGATGCAGCGACAACCTCATCAACTGTGAGTCCCGTTTTCAATCCTTGTCTCCTCAAGAAAGGGAAAGGCAGCAAGGAAGGTAAGATGACAGAAAGGTTCTTTCGGCTTGAAATGCTCAGCTCTGTCAGACCTCCAAACTTTGAAGAAATGGGATCTTAGGGCCTTAGGAGGTTCTCTTGAAGGCCCTTGCCGGGCCCGGCTTGGTCTCCTCGCCACGTGGAATGAACTTGCAGTGAGCACAAACTAGTGAAAACCACGAAAACTACTTCCTTCGCTTTTGGGCTTCGAGATGTCATGGTCTAGGCTACTGGTTACTCTAGTTCTAGTACTAGTAGTAGGTATAAGCTGTTGCACCCGACAGACGCGATCCGACTGGCAAACAGTTTGGGCATGCCAGTCCGGTCCTCGAGTCCCCGCTCTGCAGGATCTGATGATGCCGGGTTGCAAGCATTGCTCAAGCTGCAGGATGAGGCGACACTGGGACGAGGGCCAGCATTGTTTTCACTGGCTTCCGGCTAGGAGTTGTCCTGCCACTTCCAGCAACAGAAGCCAGCAGAGGCCTGGGGAAGATGGCGGCGGACAGCCAAGATTTGCAAAGATTTGTTCTTAGGCCTTGCTCAGGTGGTCTTGGGCAAGCTTGCGCAACACTTGCTCCTCTCGCGCTTGAGCAGTCGGGGCCGAAGTGGGATGTAGCTGGCATTAACTAGCATTTGCTGCAAGTATCACCCACCGCAGAATTTCCCGAAGCTGTCCCTTTCCAACTTACTTATGTCACGGCATGCGCATGTTCTTTGCACCCTCAAGCTGCTGCCAAAAACATTCTTCAGAAAGGCATGCCTGATGGATGCAGGAGCCATCAAGGCATCTCACAGAATCCATATGTCCATTGCTGGATAAACGGTTGCGATTCGACGCGGTGTTTGCGGTTCCAGCCCCGCCCCCGGACTCACCAGGCTGTCACGCTTGCCACACTCACGCCGTGTGACCCGAATGGTAGCACTGTGGGGCTATCCGTCCTCGCCCGAGCTCCACGGAATCGACGACACCGCATTTTCATAAACTCAACACTTCTTTTGTGGCGATGCGTGCTGTTTTCGTCGACAAAGTTCAAGGATAGTAAAGTTACTAGAGGTGAGGGCGACATCGCATACGAGGATGTGATTCGGGCTGCAGTCATGTGAGTTTTTTGGAGTGGCCTGCGGCTCAGTAGTCGGGTGGCTGTGAAAGCGACTGGCTGTCGCTGCTGCTGTTGGTGGACACTGTCGATGTACGGCGGCAGGTGGCCAGCCAATGTGACAAAATTCGGCACAGGGCACTCGCAATGAAGGTTCAGCATCGAATTGAGCAAATTTGCAAAGGCCCAGAGATGCTTCCTTTGGCAACCCTTTTCTTCAACTGCGTGCATGCACGGAGCCTCAGTGTGTTGTCGGTGTTGTCGAGGGGACGATCTCCAAGATGGCGATCATGATATCTGCGCTGCAACTTACATGCTAGGGAATGTCGAATCTGCGTCTCAGGGATCTAAGCGGCGAGTTGATTGCATTGCTTGGTAGACTTGCGAGGTCCGTGTTCGAGCCGAGAGAGCCGAGGTCGGAGCTAGTAGGATCCGTTTGTCCTGCTGCTTTCGCCTTGGTGCATGATGAGCAAGTCTGACGTCAGAAAGACCCACCTCTTTATCTCTTCCAGGTGACTCTTGATTTGTCCAGCACCTTCGCTTGGCCTACTGTGTTGAATTGCGTGCTAGCCTGATGTAATCTTGCATTCTGAACTTTTAGTCTCATGTCGCGGTGTTTGGGGTGTAGATGCCTTTGCAAAACATCGCACGCCTCGGCATGTGTGGAAGCCCTGCTTGGGTCACAGCACTCGAAAACAATGAGCTCAACGTTTGGCGCAGCCCCAGTGCCCATGCCGAATTCACCACTTACAACGCCCGCATATTCAGAGATAAGACAACACTGGAGCCGCCGCAGAAAGACTAAGAGTGCGGCCAAGGGGGTTGTTTCTGAGCGACCTACGCACACTGTGCACCATCACTCCTTGGCAGAACCGTGACTCTGGAGACTAGTCACCGGCTTTCTTCTCGTCGCTTGCGCAGTCATCCAGGCTAAGTGAGGGTACAGGCCTTCGCCGCACCCCATATGAAAAGCCGGCCAAAGGTTTCTGGCAGTTCACAACTCGTGGGTTTGTGTGGCTGAGGTTAGATTCGTACACAAGCGTTGTGCCCGTCTTAGGCCACAGTCGGAAGTGATGGTTGCCGTCGTCTTGTCGAGAGAGAGTGAGCTTCCATTCAGTGTGTGTCGTCAGACGCATGCGACAGCTGCGGCGGTGCCGGAGCAAGCCGACGAAGGGGGCAGAGCTGTGGCTTGGCCTGGGTCCCAGCTCTCGGTTCGGGTCACAGTCATGTCATAGGCGCGCCAAGAAAAGCTGGCCTCCGGGGCTAGCGGAGTTTCTTATCAACCGAAGGTTGCAACAAGGGGTGTGGGGGCGGAAAGGGCCCCCCAAAATTGAGACAAATGGTGCCAGTTTCCCGAGCTAGACTGCACCTGGAGCTGCATTTTCCCGGCGTGGCCGACCCCCACCTTTGCGGGCATGAAAAGGAAGTGTTTCGGCTTGCCCTGGAACGGAGAAACGAGACGCTAATGCTGCTCATGATGCTGCTTTCTCGGGCCCACCCAAGCGCGCCAATGATGCTCATGATGCTCGCCGCGCCGGCCCGGCCAAGCATCAATGATGCGCATAATTCTTTTTGACTGGCTTGCTTGGCTCGTATGATGTTCGGTGCTGTGACTGCTCCAATCTCCTGCATTGCAATAAGCATGATTGTCCTTCGGTGCCTTCTTTGGCTCCTACGCTCAAGCTCTTCCGCCCAGCCAACCAACATGAGCAAGAAAACTCCGGCCGGCCGCAGGTCTTTCCTTAAAAGTAGCCCTTGAGCCATGCTCTGTGCCGGATGCAGACGTCGCGTCCGAGTCTCGGCCAGAAGACTTGCAGCTCAATCGTCGAAATTCGTAGAAAACCCGTAGAGGCCATTCGATGTAATACCCAATATCGAGCCTCCTGAAGTAGCCTCCTATCATGCGCTCAGGACTCTGCCGGCAGTGCTTCGAGGATGGCCGTTCCACTTCGACATGATCTCTGCGAGGCTCCGAGCTGCCGGTCCTGACTGTGCGGAAGCCAAACTACAAATCTTCGAAGCCTACATCCCTAATCCCTTTCAGCATCCTTCCCTGTCCTTAAACCAGGCTCCTGGCCGCCGCCCAAATCCCACGTAGAGCTCTAATATCTTTGTGTCGCCCGAGGACTGGTGAGAAGTGGCTCTTGGATGACCGGTAGAAGGTCTGTGACCTGAGAATGTTGGGGTCCCGGGTTTAAGATTGGACTTGAGGGTCTCCGGATTCACTGCTCCAAGCCCTGGAGTGCTGCATTGCCAGGAAATCTCCACCCACTGGTTGTGAGTAGGTTGTTCTCCTGCCGCGGTTCCTGCCGCTGCAGGTTCGTGGTAGCCGCCGGCATGATAGCTGCCGATCTCCTGCTGCTGCAACCTGCAGGCTTGTCGTGAACCCTGCATGACCCTTGGCTCATGTGGCGTTGTGAAGTCCTTCGTGCGGGGTCTTCGTGCTTCCGTGTTGGACACATGTGCCGCTCGGATGCAAGCCTCAAACGGTGGAGTCTTCGTCAGGGCATGCAATATTTCTGCCTGACCTGAGAGATCTTGAGCGATGTTGTGCATTTCAGAAAACCGCGTTTCCTCAACGGCTGGTGTTGATGGCCCGTGCTTCTAACGGTCGGTAGCTGCAGTGGTCGCTCACCCCGGCACCAAACAGCGCCACGCAACACTGCGACCTCCTGCTGCCGGTCGTTTTGCGGTGGCTCCTGGTCGTGTCTCCTCGTGCGCATGCTCAGGCGCGTCTGTTCCCCAACAAGTGGCGCAGCAGAAGCTCAGCTCGGAAATCTTGCTCCTCCAAACCCTTCGGTAGACATGTTTTCCTGCTGCTCCTGTCGCACCTCGCCTGCAAGCTTTGCGTCCGGCTCCTGCCTCGAGGAACCACCTGGCGGCAGCTGCGCCTGCTACGCGCAGCGCTGGGGTGTGCGGCAAAAAAGACCCCGGTTTATCCACTGCTGCTCTGCCCTAGCTTTCGTCTCAGTCCCTCCTCCGCAAGTTAAGGTTGGAGTCAGAGTCGCAAGAGACAGCAAGAGACATGAATGACAGAGCATTGCGGTTTATCTGCATGAGCTCGTGCTTTCGATGGTAGCTTCGGTCATGAGCATTCGGCATGGGTTTCTGCACAATGTAGGGTCCGGGGCAGGGTGCGGCGTTGTCTTCCCTACAGCGAAAGTGCCGCTCAAGAATTTGCCCGTGTAAGGTCAGGGAGGCTGATTCTTAACTCCGACTCTGCATGTCTTGCATTTCCTGCGCAACCTTCTTCAAATTATGGTCGGTGCTAAGACCAGAATAGAAATTTTGCTCGCTTGCTCCTTTGTCCATGTTCAACGCCGAGCTGTCTCTTTTGCTGCTTGAGCTAGACGAGAGCGTGACTTGCTGGTTGTGGGCATCGAGCACTGTGGCGACATCTGCTTCGGATGGTCGAGCGAGGATGCTTGTTGCCAGGGTGATTTGAGCTTCGTGGCCGGCCGGCCGATCGAGCCGGATCTCCTTAGCACTGCCAGGCTTTGGCGAGCGGCCAAACGGTATGCCGATATGTGCCGACAAGGAACCCCTTTCGCCGCGACGATTTTGTGTGCGGAGCGGAAATCAGTCCATTTGCAACTAGATTCACGAGTGCCGACTGCGAAGGTGATGTCGCAGCCGAAGCGATGGCGGGTGCTGGTTCCGCGGCGGTCGACCCGTTTGGAGGCTAGACCGGCCGGGTCTTATTCTTCAGCTGCGCAACTGCCGCCATTGCCTGCGCTTTTCCGCGTGCGCGCGGGCCTCCTCCTTGATCTGAATAGGGCTTTGGCCATCTGGACTGGCAGGATCTGGACGTTGTTGAGTCGGCCGCGGCCGTGGTTATTCGCTCAGCGTTCCGGCTTTCGGTCCAACGTTTGGGCCTGCTGGCTTCAACTTTGCGCCGTTGGGTGTGATGGGCAGTTGATAACCTGGCCTCTGTCCTGCAGAGTGTGAGCTTTGGTGGTCCAGCGGCATCGGCGATCTGCCAGGCATTTGCCGCGGCGAACCTTCGCTGCCGTGGCGCCCCGAGCCGTCAAGTCAAGGCGCGACATCCTGGCGAAGTTGCTCTGACCATAAAGCTGGGTGTGGCAAAGCACAAAGTCCGCGTCGCCCAGTGCCGCCATCAACGACCTCCAAGCAGTTTGCCTTGAAGTTGCCGCATGCAACACCAGGCGTAACACAGCATGCGAAGCTTGATGTACTACTCAATGACAATCTTGGGAGCATGGCCGTCGGCCCTCGAGAACTGGACGGTACCGTACCGCCCTTGTCCAAGCTTCTTGTAAAGGAAACACTCCACCTACCGTTGGTTTCACGTTGCTCATCTCCAATCCACAATGGTGAGCGTGCGGCACCGCCGCCTCTCACGCCAGACCCGGGCACGCAAGGAATTACTCGGGTCCAAGTGCGACCCGGCCCAATCTTTAAGCTGTAGTTGCGCTGCCAGTCCGCAACCACCAGCCTGCTCTCTTTGAAAGATGGGACCTCGAGCAAAAGCCCGTTGAGCTCAGCGGGGTGTCCCTGAAGGCAGCTTGCACATTTGCTTTACGCAGGCATCACTCAGTGAAGCTCGAGACTCGAGCCTGCCCAAAACTCAAAACCAGCAAGAGGCTGCAAAGTGCTGCGTGGGCAAGCAAACCTATGCAGCCCGGCACTCGCCACAGGTCCAACACGCCTCTCTGCCCAGGTAGACATTGCGCAAAAGTGAGAAAGTGCACACAATGATGCCAGCGTGACCTCACTAGGCTTAGCGGCTTAGCGCTCCGGCCAAGCTAAACAAAACATGCTCCCCGGCTCATATCAAACCCTTCCCATCGTGACGGTGCTGGCGATTTTGTGGTGGATCCTCCTGGACGACCAGCACGAGTGATGAGAGTTAGCGATTGCTGGTGCCCACGCCGCCAGAGCCAGGAGTGCCGGACCACAATCCTGAGCGCCTGCAAGGCGTGCGCAGACGCATCCTGAGCATCCCCCGAAGCAGCTGCGCACCGGAACTTGGTCAACAGCCTTCGTGTGACACCGAGGCGCAGGTGACAGCAAATCTACCTTGGTGAGACTCCGGCGGTCTTATTTTCTCGACACGTGCAACCAGGCTTCGGTTGCCGAGGTGATTAAAGGTTGTAGCTCTGAGGGTGATGTTCATGAAATAGCGCGCCTTGCCGCGATCGAGCAGTGCAGCATGTGTGCTCGTATTTGGTACAAGTGGATCGACTCGGATTCCACGGCGGTGGGTGTCTGTGACCCCTGCCGGCATCTTTGATCTTTCATGCCAAGAGCATCAGGGATGCCAGGCATTGACGACACTGCGTACGAGTATGCTGGCGTGTCTGAAAGAAGGAACGCTGTGCTTGTGCACTGAGTCAGAGTTCCGGATTCAGTCCTGTTCCCTTCCTGTGCAACCCTTCAAAGTATGGTCGGTTGGCCTGGGGTCTGGAGGGAGCGTGAAAGGTGACATGTGCTGATCCGCAGCAGTACTTCTCGAGCATCCTTTCTGCCAGGATTGGAGTACAAATTTTACTCCTGTTCTCCCTCGTCGTCAGCCGACTGATAGGAAGTAGGTCTTTGCTGCGAGCGTGTGAGCCTTCCGAGCTTCCTAGCGTGTCTGGGCCCCTTGCCGAGATCTTTGATCCTTCATGCCAAGAGCATCAGAGATGCCAGGCGCTGGCGACCCAGCGTGCGAGTATGCTGGTGTGTGAAAACAAGGAATTCAGTGCCTGTGTACTGAGTCAGGGTTCCGGATTCATTCCTGTTCATTTTCTTGAAGTTTCGCCGTTATGCAGCTTTCAGGGAGGCCCCGGTTCTTAGCAGCTGTTTAGCCAGGCTTTGAATCAGGGGCTGCAAACATTGAGGAGGAAAAGCCACTACCCCAAAGCATTCTTCAGAGCCAGAGGTTTCTCTAGCTCGGTGCCATCTAAGAAATTGAGGGCCGCATATGGAGTGCTCTGTAAAGCATTAAGTAGGCTGCGGGCACATAGGGCGCCACGTGAAATCATGCGTTCCCAAATTTTCTGCTGCTGTCAAGGACTAGGGGGGTGGAGTAGGGGGGGGGTTAACAGAGTCCGGCCGTCGCATATCCTGCCAAGTGCACATTTGCGAGCCGGGATGGCGCTCTCCTGGCTTGCACTGACGCTCTCAGCCGTCATCATCCTTCGGCTGGCGTCAGTGTCGTTGCCGGCAGAGCTGGGTGGCTTCGCGTCATTTCCTCTATAGAGATGCTTAAGATGATAAGACTGTTTGATGACGGTCAAAATGACGATGATAATGATGTTGATGACGGTGGTGATAATGTTGATTATGATGATGAGGATGGGGATAGCGACGATGGCAATTACGTTGAACACGGTTACAATAATGTTGACTGCTGATGCTGATGACGGCCGTCATGATGAACATGAGCAAGATTATAATGATGCTGATGTTGATGATAAAGACGATGGTGATGCTGATGATGCTGCTGATGATATTGCTAATCCTAAAAATGCAATAGTTCGGGTGACGTGCTACAAACTTGTTTTTTGCAGAAATCGTGCCAACACCGCAGTTTCGCTCACTTTCTAAGTACGAATGACGTGGCGCCTGGTGCGCCCGTACCCCAGTAGGCTGCCCTAGAAGCGACGGGTTCGGGGGCTCAGATTCAGGGCTCAAACTGTTGCTTTGGAGTTTCGTTAAATTGGACATGCTTGTGTACTTTTGCAACCCTTGTCTGCAAAAGTTAAGAATCTGTCGCCCAGATTTCAGGGGCGGCTCAAATTCTTAAGTTACGGGCACGCCGCTCACAGATGAAACATCACGATGGCAGTGAAATCCAGCTCCTGATTTTAAGCATTGAGTTCTTAGCCAATCTTCCGTTGTACTTGACGAAGATTTTTCGTTCGATCGGTGCCCTACATGCTTCGCAGAGTAGCTGGGGCACAGCCAGATGGGTTTCGCCTGCACTGGGTCATTTGGAGGTGGCACGGCTTCGTGCTCCGGGTCCAGATAACAGTAATCCTGGGCGCTGACAAGACTGTCGAAATGGCTTGAACCCAGAAGATCCGGGCTCTGAGCGCTTCGCCAGGCTCAGACCAAGAATCAAGAAGGCTCCAGCGGAGACCCAGGCAGACCTTCCCCCGCCCGACCGGAAAAGCAGAAACTGCGACATCGTCCCTTCCACGACCTTGTTGCCTGCAACTGGCGGCGTGAGCTCAATTGACTGCCTCCATGGACATTTTTTTTCATTCGCTGCGGTAGGGTCCTCTCCGGACGCTCGCCTAGCATTGAATTCTGTGAAACGGTGAAACGATTAAAAGGCTGATGTGAAGCCACCACCTTCTACTGTCTAGGGTCGAAGTCATAACGCTTTCTTCTGGATCGCTGCAGACACTGGGGGGAAGCTGCAAAGGGAAGNNTAACATCGTGCGGTTCTAAGGGGGTGTCTACATGAGCATGTACTTTGATTTGTGCTGCAGTTTCAAGTAGTGGTAGTGGTAGTCGTATAGTGGTGGTGGTAGTAGTAGTAGTAGTAGCAGCTGTAGTAGCTGCAGTAACTGCAGTAGCTGTAGTAGCTGCAGTAGCTGTAGTAGTAGTAGTAGTAGTAGTAGTAGTAGTAGTAGTAGCGCGGTTACAAAGGAAAGACTGGATTGTTATGACTTTTTAACAGCATTTTGCGCAGAAACCACGCATTAAAAGCATGTCTCTGCCACAGCGGTTCCATCGGGCAACGAAGTTTGTTATGACTTTATTTTGGGAGTCGTAACGCCGCGGTTCAATGGGGAAAGGCCTCCCCCAGCTGCTCCTGTTATGACTTCGACCTCACACAGTACCCGGAAGCCACACTGTGAGAGCCAGCTGACTGCTGGTCCAGCACCAGCTGAGAATCCAGGGCAAAGAAATCGGACAGGTTGTGAAGCTGAGCGCTTGACACAATTGGCACATGCATCGCATGCCGACGCAATCCAAGTGGCATAAGAGGCAGCCGCACGGACTGTCATGCTGGTCGGGCGGTCAGGAAGGATCACAGTCCTGGGTGGTGGCTCTAAAGTCCACACCTCTTCAGTGCCGGAAATTGCCAGTGGCAAGACTGCCAGTGGCTGCCAGGTAGGCAGGTACGACTCCATGAGGGGAGCTTTGCGAGTAGTCGGCGCCGAGTCGCGCCTCCATGGACAAACAACAACCCGCATAAACATTCGAAGCTTCAATCAGTTCCTATCCCAGTTTCTCGGCCTTGTCGCGCCTTCCGGCGGCACAGGCCGCCTTGCTCCGAGCAATGCTGAGCTGGATCGAAGTTGAAGTTTGAAGGCGGGGCAGCACCAGTCCAGCGAAGATCGGGGGCCGTCGGCTGCTGCAGTTCTGATCCAGGATTGAGTTTTCACCCTAGCCTGTGACAACATGCACGGGTTAGAAAGCCGAAGGCTGCGCAGAGCATTCACTTCGCTACTGCATCGCCGAACACCAAGCATGTGGTGGCCGGGTATTCGCCTTAGCTTTGGCTGCAACAACGACCGCGCGAGGACAGCCGTCATAGACTCAGAGACATTGCGCGGTTTTTGTGGACAACCCATCAGAGTTAAGTTAAATGTCAAGGTATCGAGGCAGACTCCGTACTGATGCAGTTCGCGACTCTTGTCTGTTTGTCTGTATTCTGGAGCGCTGTATTCTGGAACGATATCGAAGCGCAGAATTTGTCAAATGTTTCGAACCTCTACACCACTGCCAGCTCATGCCGCGTCGACTCATTGCACACGTCCGTCTCCAAATGCGGTTCCACCGGCATTCCAGAAACATATGCACTTGCACTCCTGGCATTAACTTTTCTGCCAGCTGCAACGGCGCTGAAGTCAACTCTAGTCTTGTGCCTGCGGTGACTGATCTTCCGCAGCATAATTGCCAAGGTGCATAGTGCTTCAATGAATCGTTGAACATGTGGGGGCACAGCTCAACAACAATGTTGTGCAGTGCAGCAAAGGATCGATTTTGGACCATGCACGTGAAAGTGCAAACGGAATGGAAGAGCGTGAATGCGTTATTGTGGACTCTGGTAAGGTGTGGGCATGACCTGGTTCTTTGGAGCGATGTCGACTTGCTAGAAGCCCGGACATGCTAGTGTTTGCACCAATCTGATGGACGTGGCGTCTCAAAGGAGCGGCGCAGCCGGAAAATCGCCTCCAAGGGGTGCTCTTGCGTGGTAGCTGGTGGAACGATGATCAATTGCCTGCAGCAGGTGTAGCACTGAGTGTGCGCCGAGGCCGGAAGGAAAACGAGACAACCACGCACAAGCTTTCAAGCCGTGACAGGCCGCACTGTTTCGGCGGCTTTCCACCCGTCAGCCGACTTCTTGGTATCTGGTGGCCAGGACCGCGTCAATGACTTGCCATTGTGGGTCCTGGTGTCAATGGAGTCGATCCTAAATTGTTGGCACAGATGACTTAGTGATCATTTGCGCTCCAGCTTCCTCCGGGATTCTGGCCGCCTCCGAACACAAGCTTCAGAAAGCCTGGATGACAAACATCATTGATGGTGGCTACAGACTTGGAGCCTGCATTCAAAGAGAGTGAGAGAATGTGTTGCGCAGTCCGGACTTTTCGGGGCTTGAAGCTCTTCGGATGAATCACATGCGGAATGCAACAACTCTGTGGGAAAAGTCATGCAAGTGATACTTGTTGGCTTTCTCCTTTTGTGCTTGCGGTGCCCTCGCGCTGAGTCCAAGAGCCTGCAGTAAGAAGTTCTTGATGGTGTTGCACTATTTTGAAGGACGGAGATCTCAGACTTTGGAATACTGCTACAGGGACACCAGTGCACGTGCGTCCCTCGGAACAGCCTCGGGGGTCATTTGTGAGACGTCGAAGTAACGCCGCTCCAATGGTTTTTATCCACTTGACGTATGTCAAAACCGTTCTCCGGTCAACAGAGCCGTGTGCACGTGATCTTGCCGCCACAGTGTCGTGCTTACTGTGGTGTTTCCACCTCCTGCCGCAGTCCCGCACATGAGCATTAATCTGAAGGTCCTTGTCTTCGAATTTATACAAAACGGCCTCTAGATGTAAAGCTACTGCTGCTGCTACTCCTCCTCCTCCTGCTGCTGCTGCCCCTGCTGCTGCTGTCCTGCTGCCGCTGCTGCTACTACGAGGGCGACGACGACGACGACCACTACTGCTGCTGCTGCTGCTGCTGCTGCTACTACTACTACTACTACTACTTCTACTACTACTGCTGCTACTGCT